AATTTGTGAGAGTGTCCAAGCGTAGTTCTGAGCATTAAACACAAAAAATTGACATCTTCGAAAACTTCGGTGTCAGATACAGAAATTATCTAAGTTCAGCATAGCCTAGAAAAGTTTGCAAATTTGAATAAATGTTAACTGTTCACATATGCAAATGCGTTGCTTTAAATTGCTAGCATATAAGAAGTGTTTTTTTATTTTTCTTCTCATTTTATTCTTATTCTTTAATATTAATTATTAGTAATGCAAAGGACTCTTAGCACTAAGCGTTAATACCCATACAGTAACCGATAATGAGATACTTCCCTTGGTATACTCATTTATGTTTACGTTTTAAAGGAATCGAAACATACAACATATCTATGTCTTGACTGTTTCTTAAGGTTTCCCAAAAGACAAACGAATCAAAACAACACATTACACAGCAACACTCAGCAGACATTTATAGTTACTTTACGACGACGTACGAGTATCTTAAGAATTTGTACTTGAGATTACGACGTGTGTTTGCTTACATACTTCTGTTTCTCGGAACCTTTTGAAAAAGTTCAGGAGTTACACAGAAAAAAAAAAAAAAAAAGGAAAAAAGCAAAGAATAAGAAAAAACACCACCTGGTTGCCTGTATGTTTATGATATTTTTATTTTTTTCTTCTTATACATGGCGATCTACTAACGTCTTGAACTCAGGAAATCATTTCTTCATAAGAGGACGATGATAGTGCTGATGACGCTGACGATGATGATGATAATGATGATGATGTCAGTTCAAGACATAAATAATAATGTCTGTTGCAACCACTGATGGTGAAACATGCCATAAAATATCATATAATACGAGATTATAAATAATATTTACCGGCATTCACGGTTTGAAGAATATTTTTTTATTTTTTTATTTTTATTTATTTATTTTTTTTTTCAAGTCTTATAGTTGCAACGGGGTCGATAGTTTGTTGATTGGTTAGTTGGCTCGCTGATTGGCTCTAGTTAATATAATATGTAAACTATTCTCTCGGTATACTTGCCATCATTATCATTATCATCGTTGTAATAATGTTAATTTACGGACATATTTCTTTTATTGTTTCCTTTTTTTATTTAATGCCTCCAGAGATATGCGTTACAGTACGTAATTAATGATGTGAAGAGCAAATGTAACTGATTTGTTTTAATTTCAATCCATAAAGTGGTTCTTGGTTTTTATTAAAAAAAAAAGCCGAATTCTTACATAGTTAGTTATACAGTATAAATAATCGACCAATTAACTTGTAATTAAATAAATAAATTAAATTCAGAGATCTATTGCAAGACTTGAAAACAAATAAAAAAGATAAAAAAACCAATATATACTTACGGAGGTAACTGATGTTTACTTGACGAGACTAACCGTAACGTCAAGAACGTCTACGATTTAATAGGCGATTGTTCCAACAACGAGCGCCGCCTTTGTGACACGCTATGACTAGAAATGACTATTTCTCCGACTAATACAACTTGATTACTTTACGACGCTAAACGAAAGCGAATCTTCGATTGGGAAGATTAAGGAAGTGCAGAAGGACATAAAACGTTACATAATCTTTAAGGCGGATATTAATTTGGTAAGATTATATTGTTGACATCACTACAGTAATTCACGTGTGTGATGAAGAAAGTGTGAGTGAGGTTAAGTTGGATAGTTTTCGCAAACTCTGATAAACTTTTGTATTAATTTTGTTATGAAATTCGCTTTTTACAAGATACAGTCCGTATCACTAGATCGTGGATATTTTGATCAAGCGAAATGCACTTCAAAGTTCTTTTATTTTACTACTTTGCCTGTAATCGTTTTCATCGGCCTACACCTGCATGACGAGCCTGAGAATTTCACTTAGCTTTCACCTGTTTGCTTTTCCGCTATTCGTTTTCATCGGCCTGCAGCTTCATGAGGCGCCTGCGAATGCTCATTTGGTTTTTCCTTCTTTAGGAAATTTATTATTACGAAAATTACTTACCTGACATTAACTGGATTTGGGATTCTCGTAACAATATCATCCATATCCCTACGTAAGGCCAAAGTTTAATTTCTTATCGAGTGCTATTCCAAGATATCACATACACTGCAAGAATACAATACAAGTATCGCATGTATGGATATTAAGAGTGACACCGTTATGTCTAGGGCGGTTGGAAAGAAGGGCTTTTGATTTGTTTGCAGGCAGACAGGGAGAGAGAGAGAGAGAGACTTAGCGAGAACCAACGACAGACGGGAAAATTGTTTATTAATTGCTGTCAGGCAAACATTTTTCCAAAATTTAAACCAGTAGTTCGCTTAAGATTATGAAAGTGTCATCCAGCGTGGACAAAATAAGTACACTCGTCTGTGTCAATTACTTCAGCTAAGTCATAAACGAAAAGTTTAAATGGGATCTAAGGCCGAAATTTAAGGAATTCCCGACTTTATTGGTTTGCTCTTTGGATAAACACCGTCATCTTCGTATTCCGGCCGGAAACCTCTTCAATGATCTTGTTCTGTTAGTTTTGCATGTTGATTGACTTAATTCTTTCGTCTAAACTCAGCCATATTTATGGTGGATTCGTTAAGAAAAAAAATATCAATACATTAGATTTGATACTGGGGCAGCGATAATGTTAGCTATTTAAAGAAATTCTAACTCTTATCGGCCGGTTTAGGTGAATGATTTAATGCGATCAGGTTAAAATAAAATCATTGCAAAGCACACAAGAGATTTCTTCTCTTTTCAAGCGTAAGACTTTACCCGAAACTTTAATCCATTAAATACAATTTATATATATTATATAAAGCGGGCTATGTTAATATATATGTTCAGAATGCATGTAATCAATCACAAGAAATGCTGTCAAATCATATAAAAGTCGTCGGATATGCAATATATTCGCTATATGATGCGATACAAGATATAAAGATATCGACTAATGGGATTTTTGCTTCATCTTCTAATCGAGGCTAGTCAGTCAGTCAGTCAGTCAGTCATTGGAAGTGAATGTTAAAACATTTCGTTCAAATTCAATATAATTTCTTTGTGATTTCAATCTTACATCATTAACACGTCCTCCATCACGGGTAGTGCTGAATTGAATTTCATGTACCGAAAAGAGTACACGTGGCATGAAAATGATATTTGATCAAAGGAAGCTGAGGAAGGAATGTGCTAACACCAAAAGATTCGTACAGACCTGCACCTTCCCGTTAATTAATTAATAAAAATAAAAAAGAATATGAAATCTTTTGAATACATTTTCAATTGCAGGCAATGATTGAATTCAGTCAAGGTTATACTGCGATTCTGCAAGCAAACAAGCAATTTTTTGAATCCGCCCCTGGCTGCCCGTTAAGTATTCTTATTTATTTTGAAAGGTATTAGGTCGAGAGTGTAGAGAAATACTTAACACTAAAACGCTCTCTTGAGCTTCAATATATGAAAAAAAAAAAAAAAAAAAAAACAAATAAATAAATAGATTCTTGCGATTTGTTATTGTTGTTGTTTTTATATTTTACACAACATCCTTTTTCTATTGGTGCCTAGTTGCAATTTATGGATTTTATGGCTATTCTGGTTCTTCTGTGTCAACATCCAACCTCATATTTATATGTATATGTATATGTATGTATTACCGTTGCTACTATTTTTGGTATTTAGATTCAATGTTCATCTATATACATATTTATATATATAGAGTTGCTCTTGGTTTCTTTTAATGCTGGCATTTGAACATATGTACTTGCTTACTTATTTGTGTAAGTGCCTAACTGTGTTTACGTATGCAGACATAATTGTATTTGGCCTGCGCTTTTGCTAATAATGGTCATATAAACACATACTTCTTACATATTTATGTGACTGAGATATTTTCAGGAAAAATTTTCTATTACATACGTGTGTATATTTGTTCTGTTTATGTTCGTTTATGGTGTTTAGATCGTATAGTTTGTTTTTTTTTCCTAATTTATTTTTTATGGTGGACTTTGAAACAAAATTGAAATGCTTTTCTAATAGAGATGTTTATAAAATATATATATAAGTGCTATGCTATGTCAACTAAATGGAGTGAAATTTCATGCAATTCCGTTCGAAGCGCATGTAATGAAAATGAATGAATGAATGAAGAAAACCCTTAGTAGCATTAATGCTACTTCCTTTTATACGAATCTAATTAATAACTATATAGTTGATCAATAATTGATCAGAATTTGTTATAGATTTCATGAAAAAGGGAAAAATGAACAGAAACGATTGCAATTAACATTTGCAAATAGCATTTTGTTCGATTGCTGATGCTTGAAATGTTTTCAAATTATTACATAATTAAGTTTGTATTTCCATCAGCAATTTTACATCATTTTGTTCGCATTCGCAGTTGTTGGCAATTTAGTAAACACTATTTATTATTTTCCGCTAGTGAACACAAATATGCTGATGCCTTATGCCGTTTGCTGTCGAGAGCAATGAATGTTAACACATACCATGTGCAACAATAAGATGAAAAAATAATATATATATATATATATATATATATAAAATAAAAAAGCTGGATTTGCTTTGGGGCTGAATCCTAACTATTCCTCAAGTCAAATCATCCAAATCATGGTAACTTATGAGCATATGAGGCCTCGTTGATTTTCTTAATAAACGTATAATACAAATAATCGACATCTTCATTTTTCAATCTTATGCATGAATTTTCATTAATATAACACATCCATTCACAAAAATTTTGCCGGTTTAGCTAAGCTAAGAATGTATGTGAGGCATGTCTCAATTTTCGCATTTCATTTCTTGCCATTATCGCTGCGATCAGCTAAAAAGTAACGGACAGACAGACGGATGGACGGACACACAATATTTAATCATCATACAATTGCACTCACATCGTTAGATATTGTAAAATGAATATCAGAATAAATATGCGCAAGTCTTCCTGACTTATAGCTATGGAAAAACAAAAAAACAAAAAAAATACTAAAACACCAACAAATCATAAATTAAGCAACAAATCAGCAGAGCATGTAAAACCTGATAAATGTTTGAATGAATAATATATGCGATAATTATCATTACAAAAAATAGACGAGATTAGATAAAAGAAAACATTTAGTTACGGTAGACCAGTGAGAGGTAGGGGCGGAGGAGAGGGAAGAAATTCATTCAGTGAAGAAAAGTTATATACTGAACTGTGCGTGTACGTGTAATAAATATTTGGTAAATATTCAATTCGAACAATACGAAAATTTGATATGATCTGAAGCACATTGTTGTGTTGATGACGATGACGAAAAACACTAGGGCTTCTCCTTAAGTCAATTAACGAAGCGCTCTTTTGCGAAGAAAGTGCTCACAGCCGCTTGTAATAACGAAGAACGAATGATTTAATAAAAATAAACTAATTTTTGTTTTTTTTTTTGTTTTTAGGCTAAAGTTAAAAAGTTAACGGACAGACGTATCGACAGAAATTAATCTAGTTTTCTGCTACGCTATGAATAATTCCCTCCGACAATATATTATTTATTACAAATCCAGTGTATGAGCGTGTTGAAGTCGACACACTTTAAATTTGTTGTTCGCATGCCATAATAACATTGAATTACCTTAGTCTCTTTATATTCAAGCTACTGAGACTGAGGTTGACTAAGATATTGGAAATGATGTGCATAAGAACATTGCGCATCAATTCTTTTTATTAAACAAACATATCGCGCGTCGGTCTGTCTCTAAGTTTAACAAAGTTGTTGCAATGAAAAAAGATTAAGCATTAAAAGCGCAACGATGTCCAACTTGAAGCAATAGGCGATAGCTTGGGAGGCTCGCAGTTCACGCAGTGCACCTAAAAGAAGTGAAAATCAAGATCGTTGGCGAAGAAGAAAATTGCCGGATAGCGAGGTATTTGTCGCGCTTGCACACATAAATATCAAAAGTAGGAAAATTGTATTCGACTGTGACGAAAATTTTTATCTAATGTTAATACCAACTTGCGTGCAGAGGCTTCCCAAATTTAAAGCTGGTGTCTTCATTTTCGCGACCAAGACAGTATTTGTCATAGACGTTACACAAACGACAAACAAACAAACAAACAGATATGTTTACATCCAGGTGAGAGTTCAATGCTCACCATGAACATACGTACCTCATGGGGTCGATGAAATCTTTCTCTAGACATTGCGAAAGTCTGACGAAATGAATGTGCCTTCGTGGTGCTTTGGTGGTGAGGTGAGTTTTAAAAATCGAGTATCATGAACTTGACTGAACAATCTGTTGGAATATGTACGCGTACGACAAGCTAATAATTTTCACGCGATATTTTAATAATGATTTTTAAATTATTTCTTAATATTCTTGAGCAGGTGAAGTGCACAATGAACTGCACAAATCAGCCCAGTAGTTTGGATGTATATAGAAATTTGCGAAAAATATTACAAAAATTTTCTCAAGTTTATAAATGCGTTAAAAGAAGTAAATATGAAAAATCTAAATATCCAAATTTTGATTGGATGCATGAGCAACATGAGGATTTTTCATACAATTTTTTCATATTTTTAATATGATGAAAATTGGCTTGCGAGAGTGTTTTCATGTATACATTGGACCAAACTTGGATTAAGTTAATGTATTTTTTAGACATTATCGCATCGAAGAATTCTCATAAAGTATAAATCCTTATATGGCGTAAGTGTCCGATTTTTTTTTTGATGAAAATTTGTTCATGATAATAATTTGATATAAAAATTAAATGAATTGAAATTGGACCACATGGATTTTTTAGGTTCTCTAATCAAAAGCAAGTCCTCAAATCAAGCACCAGTAAATCAATGCTGCTCTCCACGTCATTTGACGTTTTGAGCATTCCTCCAATGCTTTCATGAAAGCACAAACATAACCAATAATTTTTAGGACACTATCACGAAAATGAATCAATGATTGTATTATTAGTTGAACCGCTATAAAGTGTCTGATGGTCGGCTTTGCCTCACTATAACATTCTTACTCAGTTAATTTGAAAAATTTTTTTAAAAATTTCTTATTTAGCAAAACAACATTCAAATGTACTAACATTTATACTGGTGTGTAATGGTGTAATTTGTCTATTTTCCTGTGGCTAGTTCATGTTAAGATATCAAATTTGAAAAATTTCGTGAAAACATTTCCGACAACCGACATTCCAATCCATATTGTATTCGTTTGAAAGATGTTTTCATATAAATTCGCCCGATGTATACTGAATGAAGCGACATTTTCCAATTTAAACGCGACCTGTTTTCCATTTTTTTTCCAAAGAAGAATATTTGGCGTTGGTCAAGTGCCGTCAACATACTGATTTTCATTCGTTTATCAAAATCATTTCCCGAAACTAATATTTTAGTTTTTTTTTTTTTTTAAATTGGACGGACTGGGCCTTCAAATCCAATCATAGCCTGACGCTTCCTTGTGTGGAATTCTGTTAGCTATTTAATGAATTTGTCTTAGGTTTTTTATAAAGTTTTATCACAGTAAGTTGTGTGTGTGTGGTTCGTTTCGGAGGTAATCAGATTCGAATTTATCCCGATGCACCTAACAACAAAAGTAATTTCCATACAAACAATTGATATTCGTGGATCATAATGGGGACATAATGAATCGGGTTTGGCTACATTACCACGTATTAAAAAGAGTTAAATGATTTTTTGTATATATTAGATGCTGGCGTGTATTCTGATCATTTCTTCACAGGAAGAAGGCACTTGCTGAGAAAAATTTGCCCAATATACATTGATCAAAATATTTTCGATTATATTCTATACTGGACACGGCAGCACTTCCCATTCGGGCTGCAACATCCAGCATAACCCTTGCAACCTGTGGCCAAGCCTTGTCACGTAGAATTTGCATCGCTACTAACCGGTTCGGTTTAGGAGCTCATAGTGCACTAAACCTTCTTGATCCGCCCATATGCATAGCAAAACTTTATGACAATGAATATTCACCTTCGGTGTCGCTGTGCGTGGCTCTCTTGGATTAACCCATGACTTTTTGTCGTAATTGATTCACTTTTCATCGCCAGTCACAATAGGCCACAAAAAACTCTTCCCTCTTTGGCCTGGTAAGCAATGAAGCCCCGATATGGAAACGGTTCGAAATGGCATTTTCAGTTAATTCATATGGTACCACCCGTTCTCTCCCCTTTTGTTCGAAAGTTTTTTGCGAATTTGAGCTAAGTCTTCGTCCAATAAGTCTAGCAAATCATTGTCTAAGAACTTTTTTGTTGCTTCAGGCCGTTCTTTGTTATTGACATTAAAATCACCAGTTTAGAACCGCTGAAAGCAAAATCGCGCATCATCATAAGCTTTTAGAAGTGCTTGATGGACTTCGGCAGCAGATTGCTTCAGATCAAACAACAAAAGTAATGAAAATCGAAAATGCAGTTTTTGAGCGTTGCATGACCTGACCACCATCAATATACACTGAATAGGTCAGTGATGCTAAATGGAAAACGATTATTTTATGTAGAGAAAGGTCAAGATTATCGAATATAACCGACGTTGTATACATTGATTATTTAATTTAAGTTATACTTAATGAAAAAATTGATGCCAAATTAATTTGGATTTCTTGTTTGTTGATTCATTATAAAGTCGACATTTTTGTGTCACCTTTTTTTTTTTTTTTTGCGAGGATTTAAATTCAATTTAATGACATATATTAGATTAAAATAATTTGAAATTTTTTTCTAAAATTCATTGGATTGTATTGACATTAAATTCATTTTATAATTCATTTTGTTAACGGCGTCTTTTTTTCTTTGTTTTTTGTCATAAGTTAGATTATTGTTGCGCATTCGGTAAACGACACCTCATGCCATAATTAACTAGTCTGCTGTGATGGTGATTGTCTAACTGTTGCTGGTTTTTTGCTGGTAGTAGCGGTATGCTGATGACGGTGACGGTGGTGGCGGTAAGGGCAATGGTAATGGTAATCGTAGTGCTAGTGGTAGTAGTAGTCGTAGTAGTAGTAATAGTAGTAGTGGTAGTAGTAGTAGTAGAAGTCGTAGTGCCAATGATTGTGTTCATGTTCATGTTTTCGTTTACCATGTACAAGGCCGTTACAGGTTTTTAGTTTTTAGTCAACTTACTGTTGTCAGTTAGTCGCTTACTCGATAGGACAACGCTTGGTGAGATATATGTTTTCATATATTTCACATATCAAGTTTTTGTTTTGCTTTGAACTCATTCTCTTGTTTTTGCTGTTTTAATTGAATGGTTTGTTGGGTCGGCAGCCTAGTCGGAGAAGTTGATTTTTTATTTATTTATTTCTTGGCATAAATATCGAAAGCTTTGGAATAAAAAACTAAAAAAGAAAAAAAAAAAATAAATAAATAAAAATAATTACAAAAGAAAAAAACAAAATCAATTTGCTTAGCCAGGTATGCGTACCGAGAACACGTGTTCATTTTATAAAGACCGGAGGATGGTATTTGATTGCAGGTAAATATTAAACGTAAACTTGATATATGGTAATAGAGTCTTTGGTTTTTTTATACTTACTTACCGATGAACGGCAGCACATTGGTTTTATGAAGCGTTTGCCACACCCAGAAGGAGGATTCAGAGAGCCCAAACATTCCTGATAACCTTAACATTTTATATCGATTTGAGTATGTCCCTTTGTCCGCCTGCGCAATAGCTGCGGTAAACCTTTTCTTTCGCGTAAAACTGAAGCTATCAGCTCGAGATTTGGCGGAGGCATTGGCAGCTCTTGGCAGGCAGCTCTGTTCTTCTAAGAAACAACTCGTACTCAAAAATTGTACAAGATAAATTTTTAAAAGTTTGCACCTATACTCTATGGGCGATGTTGTAGTAACCTAAACAAAAATGGAAAAGATTCTTGACCATTGCCGTATTACGAAAGTATTTAAGACTGCCTGTCTGCCACATTATGTGGCAGCTGGTATTCGCAAAAATAAAGGTATGGCTACCACAATTAGCAAAAAAAAAAAATTGAAAAAGACCCGAATGCGTTGAAGAACACGCCTACAATGCAACCTAAAATGAACAGACCTTTGCGCTCTGGGTTTCTTCGCATTGATCATTTAATTGCAAACGGGATAAAAATCTCTTTTTTTCTTAAGAATAAAAAAATTAGCCACGCCCATTCGAAAGGATGAAAAATTATTTTTTTTTGCTCTTCGTTTTTTTGGATAAAGACAGGTAGGCATAGAAAATTTGGTCACGGCTAAATATAATTTTTTTACTTGCTATTATGTATACATACTTCACTATATCCAGGGAGGTGCTCGATATTTGTTGTCAACACTTGTAACATCAATCATCGTAGCTAAATAACAAAGAAGTAAGATCGTAACGGGCTTTAAGAGTATGCTAATTAGTTAGCTACTTAGTTGTCTTACCGCGTTACTCAAGAGTTTATCGTAGCTGATGCCTTTTTAAGCAGTAAGCAGAGTAAAAAAAGAGCGAAAAAAAATCATTAGTTTGGCATTGATTCCATATAGGGAAATATGCGCACATATATGTACATCGATTTTAAATATCAAAATTTAAATAATTCAGATTAAAAGTCGATTAACATATATTTTTTTTTTAAATTCTGTAAAGACAATAATGTACGGCTGTAAACAAATATATTTTTATTACGTTATGGGCCAATCAAACTCTGTAGAATAAATATCTAATAAAAACCGGTATGTGTGCGCGTGTGTCTGTCAGCAGGTTACATTACAAAAACATTACATTTCCTATGTACACAAGCATGTGACGACTCCACACTTTAACCTACATTTAAAATTCAGCATTAAATTACTGCTTAAGTAAGCATAACAAACGAGAAAACAAAAAAAAAAAAAAAGCATCTGAACTGATATTATAGTCAAATTTTACAAGTAAATGAATAAAAAAAACAAAAAGGCTACCGGCACATGTCAGGCAAGTACGACAGCCGGATGAACCGTACCCCACAATTTGGAGACAAATCTTGAACGCTAGTTGAGTTTACACATTTTTTTTTTTTTATAAGTAGCGACCACTTCAGCAGATCTATCGAAATCATTGCATCTGTAAATCTTCAATTGGACCCTAAAATCAATATTTCCGATACTTTGTGTAAGAGTTTATTAATGAAAATATCCATCACCAAGTTTCTCAACGATTTTAAGGATGCCTTGAAGATCTCATCGAGCAAATAACTACCTAAACCAAATATAACTTCTTTCTTGTTTTTTATAAATTTCCCCTGCCTGGTGTACCGTTTTCAGTACACGCCAAAAGCCATTTATATGTCAAGCTCAATTCGTTACATTCTCGCTTTTACTATTCTACGCGATGTAATAACGTTTGCAACTTTATTTGAGACATCTACCGATAACGGTAGATCAACGGTTACATCGCGAACGCGAACCGTTCCGCAATAATTATCAATAAGTTTTCCATTCGAATTTTCCAAGGATTATTTTCTCGATAACCGAAACTATGTATCGACCAAACAGCTAATAAAAGATATATTGTTATGATCATCATTAATAGGAAGTAATGCGAGGAAGTGGTGATTGAGAAAGTGGTCCGATCCCAATTATTTTCAATAGTGGTCGGTTTCGAAGGTTGAAAGCGAAAAAACAGCCGGACGGACGGGCAGAGGGACATCCAAGCTTAGACCGCGAATCACTTTTTCAACTGCTCCGGTCGGCATACCTCAAACTCTTCCGGTTTTTGTATACATCCGCACGAACCATATGTGTGGCAGTGTATACAAAATCAATTTCGTTGAATAAACACGCAATTGTAAATAAACAGCTGCAAGCTTGTAAGTCTAAGCGTATGTTTTATTTGTTTCCTTTGATTTCCTTCGCCCGAGCTTATGAGAAAACCAAAAATAAAAGCAAAAGATCGACAGAAGAGCGAGCACGTATTTATACAATAAAGTTTAATGCTCAAGCAATTATTATTTGCCACACACATACAAACATAAAGGAAAAATCTAATCACTGCAAAGGAAGAAAGATATATACAACATTATTATGTCTTTGTTGTAAACACACACACACACACACACACACACACGCAGCATTAATGAAATTCAGTCTTTAATGACATTGAAGTTAAAATTCAGTACGAACGGACGTATAACATAATAATTAAATAATATTAACAATAAAACAATAGTAGAGTGACTTCTCCAGCTCCCAACTCATTATGGAAAATAACTCACGCATTGCATACAAAGCGAATATTGTGATGTATGTATGCACATATATTATCGAAAAATGTAATTAAAATATCATTAAAGAAATTCAATTGTGTTGCTGCATATAAATAAAATTTAAGCTTAAATGAGACGCAAGAGAAGTCATCGTACATCGTAGATTGATTCGAATTCCTGCTCTATCCGTTTACATATTATTTCGACAAAGCATTTAAGCTCGCACTATTGATGATGCCAAATCCCGCCTGCAGGTTGTACTGTTTATGAACTGTTGTTTGTTGTAAGATTGTATGGTTATGCATGCTTATGGATGGCATGCAATTTGAACAAAATGGTGTAACACATTCTATGCTATCAATAAGATCAATATATATATGTACAAATATATATATATATATATATATATATATATATATGGGGTTATTCATATCGTGATCTGGCTTTGGCAACCCTATTTCATTGGCATATTTATATATATGTGGTAGTCATCCTGCACATCGTATGTTTAGCATAATGTCTGCCATCTTAGAATTTATTAATCGCTGAATATGCTTAATTATTATTAATATTAATTTCGCCAGAGAAATAAATACTAAGGCTAAACTCTTAAAGCACAAACATGCATCTGAAAGGCTATCTATCGACTTTTATTAAAAACTCTACCGCACTTGAGATTCGAACCCACGACCATTGAGAGTTGCTAGTTGCGATTCGTCGCGATTGACCACTCAGGCGGATTGATGAATATCTTCAAATTGCGAAAACTTAATAGAAAAATGCAAATGATTCTATCTACCTTTCGTACCTTACCAGCTGCGATTATGCTCCACATAATCGACCATTTGAGCATGCTACACGCACAACAGTGAAGAAGCTGGATCACTGAATCACGCGCGCGACCGAGAATATTGATGCTGTTAGTGAAAGTTTCGTAAAAGATCCAAATTTATGCATTACGCGTCGCGCACAGTAATTGGGGGGACATTTTATGCCCTATTGCGGAGTTTTTTTTTTTATTTTTTTATTTGCATTCGCATCTTCATTTCCATTTTAGCAAAATGCAAGTAAGATAAGAATTGAAATCACCTGACCATACGACGCGTGGAAGATACGTTGATTAAGTGTTCGAACATTAGCGTTTGGATGACGATTGTTCTTTCTCGACGATCGAACTTTCTTCAGCGATTAAGATTTCACAAATAATGGCAAGATCCTATCATTGATGGACGTATTATTCGCCAACATAACGGATGTGAAAACAATTTGCAAGAAAATCTTAAAGATTTCAGCTATTTCCTAATTGCATAATATTTCCATCGATTTTGAAACAAAAACAAAAGAAAAAAACAAACTTCAAGCAAAACAAAAGAATTGCAAAAATTTTACCATAAACACTGTACGCGCTATACTAGGTGCTTGCATGTATTTTGGCCATTTTGTCACTTGAAATCGATTTTTATTGCGAAAAAGTGGTATAATATGTGTTCATCAAAATCTTTTCCAATATTTTCTACAACTTTTTTCCATCTTCCTGGCAATGTGGCGGTACCATGTCGAAAGGACAACAGAGGTTCGGTAGCGATTCAATCAGTATATCCAGTATAACCCTTGCAATGTGTGGTTAAGCCTTGTCACGTAAGAATATGAATTTGCGCCGCTACTAACCGTTTTCGCTTGTCTTTTTTTCTCCTACAATACATCGTTTAATTCGCTCAGTTGATATCCGCTGAGCTATAGCTTTATTCGGTTTAGGAGCTCATAGTGCACTAAACCTTCTTGATCCGCCCATATGCATAGCAAAACTTTATGACAATGAATATTCACCTTCGGTGTCGCTGTGCGTGGCTCTCTTGGATTAACCCATGACTTTTTGTCGTAATTGATTCACTTTTCATCGCCAGTCACAATAGGCCACAAAAAACTCTTCCCTCTTTGGCCTGGTAAGCAATGAAGCCCCGATATGGAAACGGTTCGAAATGGCATTTTCAGTCAATTCATATGGTACCACCCGTTCTCTCCCCTTTTGATCGAAAGTTTTTTGCGAATTTGAGCTAAGTCTTCGTCCAATAAGTCTAGCTAATCATTGTCTAAGAACTTTTTTGTTGCTTCAGGCCGTTCTTTGTTATTGACATTAAAATCACCAGTTTAGAACCGCTGAAAGCAAAATCGCGCATCATCTTAAGCTTTTAGAAGTGCTTGATGGACTTCGGCAGCAGATTGCTTCAAATCAAACAACAAAAGTAATGAAAATCGAAAATGCAGTTTTTGAGCGTTGCATGACCTGACCACCATCAATATACACTGAATAGGTCAGTGATGCTAAATGGAAAACGATTATTTTATGTAGAGAAAGGTCAAGATTATCGAATATAACTGGCGTTGTGTCCATTGATACTTCGCATTACTTTATATCGTTTTCAGCAATAAATGGCGCTGATTAAAATACATGCAAACGCCTCTTATTTGTAAATAATGTGTGAACTTGTGTACAAACGCGCATATATATATATATATATTTTTTTTTTTTTTTGTAAGACTTTGCAAGACAGTACCATTCGTGCACTTCATTGTTAGACAAACTCACAGCTATATGCTGTTGTGTCTTATTCTTTAACAAATTAACATTTTACTGCTTCTCTCAACTACTTACTGCAGTTAGCCTTAGGCGGCTTTTATTTGTTGTTTGTTGCTGCTTTATTGACTTGACTAGTTGTGACTGAGCGTTATAAGTAAATATCTAATAAATATTGTAAATTGATCACAGGTTAAAGGAAAAACTGATATTCTCAATGATTGGCAAGAATGTATTTCTCAGCATATGTATTATTGTTAATAGAAAAAAAAAAAAATAAAAAAAAAAAAATAAATAATAATTTCTTTTACGCATTGGTCTTGCATGAGCCCCTGATAAATATTAATTCTTGATGTTATATTTCTTTTTTTTAATTTATTTACTCTTGTTGACTTTATAGTTGTTTGTTCGATGATGTGGGATGTCACAATAAGTTTTGCTTACACTCAAATAATTAATTGCTTCCCCCCATGCTGTTGAAGTGATTACAATAGCATGATGGGGTGGTTAAAATGATTGATTATGAAAAAAAGAAAAAGATTTATTTAAAGTCATATAACATTAACCTATTCTTATGTAATTGCTTTAAATATTCGTAAAAAGAAACAAAAAAAAAAAAAAAGAAGATAATACTATTACCCTTTAGGGCGAATCTGGAATAACCCTTCGTTTTATTTCCTAACTGTTTGTACATAAGAAAGTAAAGTAAAGTAAAGTAGTTAAAATCTTGGAATCTTATATAATTGCTATGATGGTATGAATGGAGAGCGAAAAATGCATAAATGCATTGCGAGAAGTCCTCAACTTCTATAATTGGGCGTGATTCTGAATGCGTTACAAATTCAATGGCGTCTTCAGGCGACTGACTGCAATCAAAATGTAAAATAATTTAACGGAAGGTGTTTTCTAAATGTTTATATACGGAAATTATCGCATGTACGCACGATACACACATGCCAAGGTATGCGGGTTGCAATTTAGAAACTTTAACACTTTTAGTTGTATGCCGAAGGCTAATTAAGGGGGAATGCCTGTTTACCTACCTTTATTGCTGCGTGTTTATTTACGATCTTTGTTGTTGTTGTTTTTTTTTTTTTTTTTTTTTTTTTGTTCCTCTTTCTTTATGTTATGCGATAATTTAAATGATTATACATATTTGTAATTGTTTTCATACTTACAACATGAGGCGACTAATAAAATTTTTCAACTCTTTGTGTTATGTGTAAGACCACGCATAATATATATATATATATATGTATATTTTTATATATTACATGTTGTATGTATATTATATATTATATATATATATATATACTTGTACGTATGGAGCCAGCTTTTTAAATCCCTACATCACTTGTCGTACACAGGCATATTAAATTGATGCGAACACTCAGAAGGAATCGAGATAAACCCACCCGGTGTATATTATTTAAGCTTGTCGGTCCGTCTGTCATGTTTTTTTCTATTCAACCTGCAGGTAGCAGTTTTCGAGATATTTCGATGAAATTTGGTACACTGATGTTTCTTGGTCCAAAGACGAAATCCATTAAAAATGGCTGTGGTCGGCCAAACTTCTCGACCGCTTCCCGTAGGATGCTGTAAGGCATTTAATATAGAGCCGTAGTTGATTATAGTGTTTTTAATTGTTCTTTCATTCATATTTTTATTATAACATTTATATTAACGTATAAATAATTATATGTTATCTTATCTTATTTAAAAGCGTACTGTTGTTGTGTATATCCTCCGATTTTTTTTTGTCAACAAAATTAAGTTGAAAATTTATCTAAATAACCTCCAAGGTTTCCTTATAATCAGCAAAATTCGACAAGCCAGGGCCATACTGTATTATTGCATCTATAATAATCTTTTCTGCACATTTGCTTGACCTTGTTTGTTACTTCTATTTCTGGAACTTGGAACTGGTATTTTTCATCGTTTATGTTAGATAAGTGTCTATATACTAAGTTCATGCGAAGTTGCATATGCGCATGAATAGCCGAATAAGTAACGATCCCGGGTTCAAATTTCAAACGCGATAGAGTTTTAATTTGCTTGATTGTAGCTATAGTGAGTGCGCAGTCGGTAAATGCATAACACTTATCGATTGAGCTACGGCCTGTCTACGAGCTGTCACTGTGTTACGCGATTCGTCGTTTAAAAAAAGAAAAATAAACTTAATCTGCTACAAAGTGTATACAGTACTTTTTTTACACGGTTTTTATTTAAATAAATAATTTTTTGTTTTTACACGATTTTTTTATATTTACGAAGACTGGGGGAAATGTTTCATTCAGTACCTTTTTTACACGGTTTTTATTTAAATAAACCATTTTTTGTTTTTACACGATTTTTTTATATTTAGGAAGACTCGGTGAACTGTTTCATTTCAATTTTAAAGTATAGCTACACTTAATGAGTACGAACTACAAACATCAGATCTTTTTAGACGATTTCCTTGTGAAACGTCTATCGTGTAAATTAAAATTCGTTCGGATATTGTGTGTGGCAGATATTTGTAATATATGGAAATGTTTATAAGATAGCATAAAGATTCTTCTAATCCGGACTTTTTTACTGCCTCCTTTATATGTTTTTTTGCTTTTCTGAAATATATTTATCATATATAGATGTATAATAGTATTACAAGGCGTGGCAGCAAGTATCTGTTCATTTGTGTGTATATCGGGCCTGTTAACATTCCAATTATGATATTTTATCATTGATTTAATAATAATGTCGTAAACCTTTCGTCAAATCTTCTTATTAAGGCATAAGTAAAATAAGCAAATAATAAGTGCACGAAGATGCGGTGTAAACTAAATATTTATATTATTTTTTTGCTTTGTTTTATTTTAGTCTCTCCATAAAGATGAGATTAGATGTGTGATGTGTTGTGTCTATATAATTGTACACTAATTAAGATAACAATGTAACATGTCAGATGTTGTTTGTTAGGAGAGGAAGAAGTTTAACAAATGTTATAATTCATGTATACGAGTTAAAGATACCAAGTGTCGTGTTAATTCGATGAGAAATGGCGTTAATTTTTTTTATTTTTATTTTATTTTTATATATTAAGAAATTTTAATTATTATTCTTATTATTATTAATTTTTCACGAAATTTTTTGTTTTAAGGTCAGGAACTAATTAAGGGCTCTTTTTTCTGTCTATCTCTTTCCAGATCTCATTTACAAAATTCATATAAAAAAGCAAAAAAAAAAAAAAAAACAAAAAAAGGAAAAGGAAATATTTTTCACATTTTCTTTAAATTTTTTTGAATAGTTATAACGACGGACCGAAGCTTTTCGAAAGTTATCAAAACAAAAATAAAAAGAAAAACGAAAAATAAAAAAAATAAATAAATAAAAAAATTAACCAAACACAGCTGCAGAAATGCGAATTTAAAAAAAGCTCTACAAGAATTAGATTACGAGAAAAAAAAAAAAGCAAAGAAAACAAAAGAAAAAACTTTTCAAAATGAGTTCAACAAATGTCTGTTAACCAGCTAAACAACCATCTGATCCGAACGAACGAGCATTGACAAAATGCTGCAATATAGCTACAACGACTCCACTCTTAGTTTCAATTACATTGTTATGGTAGTTGCTGCGATAAAACAAAAACAACAACAACAACAACA